AGAAAAATGTACTTAAAGTATCAAAAGTAAAAATATTCATAATGCAGAATGTCCTCTGTGAGTAACATACCATTACATATTATATTATTACTGATGGATTAATGTGTAAGAATCACTTTACTGTTGTGGATCTAACTATTTTATATACTGCTGGGTAGTTTAATCTATAACAGTGTATTATATTTTATAAACTAATCAAATGTTTTATATGTAAAATCTGTCAAATGAATGTAATGGAGTAAAAATAAAATCACATTTCTCGCTGAACTTTGGTAGAGTAGAAGAATCAAGTAAACTAAAACTGGACCATACCTCAAATATGTACCTAAGTACTGCATTTCTTGAGTAAATGTAGTTATATTCCACCGCTACCACATGGCCGCCAAATGCACTAGATAGCCTCCAGGCTCAATTTCACCAGAAGTCTATTAAAATTCTATTTTAATCTGGGAGAATATTTATCTTTTTTATAGTGCACATACAGTACTGTTTTTCTGTATGATTTCATGAATAGTTTACCACAGATTTAGTCTATTCTAGGGTTTCACAACACCGCTCAGTAAAATGTGATCTAGAACTTACAGTACACATCTGCAGGAGTGGAAAAGCAGGTCGGTCCAGGCAGTATTATTGCATTCTGCGTGCTGCATCATATATTTTTCAAGATATGATGCCTGTTTGCAATTACTGTTACTGAAAGTTAGGGAGGGAAAGATTATAACATGGAGCAGCTAAAATTGGAGGTTGACTGCTTCTGGACTGCACAGAGGTGTTTTAAAAACTCCTACCAAAGTTCTAGTGAAATGACACAGCTAGTCATTTTCCATTTATTCACAATTGAACACAGTTAATCATAGCACATTAACTTTTTTGGAAACTGTATTCTTCCAAGAGCAATTTGCATGTGAATAGTTTCCTTCCAAATTGAGATGTCCGCCATTTAAAAAGGGCTAATACCTGCTCTGACATAATGATTGCCTGTATGAAAGGAGAAGATTATATTTATTTAAACATTTAACAATGAACATCTCAGTAATATCTGTTCTTGAAAATGTAGAACTTTGTGAAGTGAAACCTTCCATTTGTACCACAGTGTTGAAATTCAGCATTGCTTATTAGTATTTTAGATGGGGTCAGGGGGAGTTGGGGGTATCTGGTAGCTGCTTTGCACTTAAACTTGCCAGACAGAGTAATAGATAAAATATTAAACTTGGCGGAAGGTCGAGAATGGTAATGATGATACTTTTGGCCAGCCATTCCGAGGCCTCTTTGTTTAATTTGAACGTGGCTCAGAAGCTTGTTCAAACATGACTATACAGAAGTGACAGGATGGCAGGGCAAGAAACATTCTTCCCTCTTTCAAAGATAATATTTAAAATCAACTATTTTTCCACATATGAGTTGACAAGTTGTATTCGCTAATTTTGGAGTGAATAAAGCAACCTGAAGGTCATGTTTCAGTTAGTTTAGAATAAAGGATTTAAATGCTAAAGGTAATAGTTATTATTTTGTTTTACTTTGTGCAGTCTTTTAATAAGAGTATGTGCTGCTATTCATACAGTCTAATATTAAAACAAAATTCACACATTTGTAATTTAAACCAAATTAAAAATCCCTACGCTCCTTAAATGACATACAATTGAGAAAGGTTCATGTGTTAAAGAAATAAGACCCTGGGAGGGTGAAAGTAGAGCAAAGACAGCCTAACTAAAATTTTTCCGGAGGCTTCTTCTCCTTTTACCTGCCATGTGCGGTGTAATTAATTGCTGTTAATTGTGAATGGCCGCTGGGCAGAATGTCCCAGCCTGTCATTTTCCAGCTGACACGGGTGGGGAGTGGGTAGCGTTTGATTTGTTTTGCTGGCGGTAGCTTTCAGCTCGGGGGCAAGATGGGCTCTGCAGCACTGCGGCCAGAAGCTCCAGTGGGCAACTCCTGCCACAACCAGTAAAGACGTCCCATACAGAAAGGCTGACACCCCTCAGCTCTCCCTGGTAAACACATACATATATTCATGAGAAGCCCAAAAAAGGTGTTCAGAAGGCCACAGGCAAGAGGGAGAAGCTGTCATTTGATCTAAAAAAAAACGTGTGTACAATATTGGTGAAAGCGGACAGGAGGTTTGGGGTCATATGCTGTGCTATTGCAGTCTTTTCATTCCATTACACAGCAGCTTGCAACAACATGTTAATTCAGGATATTGAGTGGGAACCAAATGTGGACAAAAATGTGAGGGAAACTTTAAAGTTGATTCAAACTGGACTTTCATCTGTATTTTCAACTGTTTACTTTTGCCTTTCTGGTGTTGCTCAGTGTTTTGCCTGTTTGTTGATGAGTCTGCCAACCACTGGGACAGTCTGTACAGTTTGCTGAGAGAGAAGCCGTAAAGAAGTCTGTCTTTGTAGTTTGTGTTTGATAATGTTTCAAAGTTGTGGGAAGGCAGTGGAAAAAGGTGAGACAGCAGACTGGCACATATCAGAAAAGACATAAACAGTGTTGTGACATGTCTATCACCCCATCCTAACACTCAGAGATCCGTCGTATTATCTGGAGCTGATAACAAAACAAAAAGTAGTTAAACCTTGGTGACGTCTGGCTTTACACAACGGAGGATAATGCTGCAGAGGCATATCACATTCTCCTTTGGGTGCTTCAGCGACAGGATAAATAACTTACCTCTGACCTAGTTTGTAACATTCAAAGATATGTTTTTCAAAATTAAAGAAGCTCTTCCCTGTTTGCTACGTCGACTATGAGAGCGAAAAGCAGCCTGGTAGCTGTAGAGAATGTTTAGTCCCAAAAAATGAACACATAATTTAATCTGCATGTGACATCTTTAACTTAAAATTACTTTAACCGCATGCCATCAGTTGCCAGACAAATTTTACAAAACCTGTCGTTTATCTTGAAATTATAAAACATTATAATATATATATATATATATATGTCTATATATATATATATGTCTATATTTTCCAGTCACTGTCAGGGGCAGGCGACACATTGTGTCAAACAGACACACTCTCTCTCTTTCATATGCACAATGATGACGAAGCCTGGCAGCTGCATTTAACCACACAAACACACATGCTACCGTGCTGTAAAAATCCCTGGCTTCTTGGTGTTCACTGTAGCGCCTCAGCCAGCGTTGACTCATTGAGAAAAAGAAAAAAAAAGCAACATCCACTAAGGTTTGACCTATTAGCGCGTCATTCACTAAAGCTGATGAAGCGTGCCGCATCTGAACAGCTCCCACTGGTATGATTTTCTTTTTATGCTCACTAGAAGTTGCCTTGCATCATATGCTTCACTGAGCTGCCTAATATCTCCTTCACTTATGCATCATCTTAAAGACAGAGCGTAACAGTGATATTTGCGATAGTGCGAGTTTGACACTCTGTTTCTACTGTCTGCTATTTAATGAAGCAGAAATTACACAATGTTTTAAAATAACCATTGAAAATTAATCAAAATGGTAATGATGAATGACATTTTAACAAAAACAAGGAACAGCATGCAACGTTTGTCCTTTGATAAAATTCAGATTAATTCATATTTGTTGTCTGGTTACAGTTTTGAGTTACTGAATGCCAGATAATATTTTTTGTGTTTAATGCCAGCTTTATTTAAAACTGACCAGCCAGCACTGGTTTTAAACCAGATGTGAGAATACACTGATTTAAAGTGGCCTTTTTTGGAAATCTGATTTTTCTTTTCATTAACTTTTATTGGACTTACTCACAACATTACTGAACAGCCTCACACAGCCTCACGTATCAGTTTTTCCAGCAATTTTTATTTTTAACCCTTTTGATCACGCAGTTAATCCATCATCAAATCTAAATTCAATAATTACTATGAATGAAAAACCTCTACAGAGCCATTCAGCACAAATTAGCGACACCATCTGAGTGTTTATATATTCCTCTCTGTATCTCTCTCCCTCTCCCTCCACTTTTTATTTTCTCCCTGTCTCCATCTTTCCCGTTCTGATTTGTCTTCCATCAGCCTCCCAGTACCTGCAGTAGAAGCCAGGGAGCTGTCCCATTACTTATGCATAGGTATCATAGGTATTCATGTGTGTGCATGGGATAGGGCGCATCCGGAGCAGGGGCCGGGGCCCCGACATGACAAACAGGGTGTCAGCATGGCTCCGTGGGACCCATTAATATGCCGGCGGCCGACAGGGATCCTCACCTACGCGCGCTTAATATTCCTGTATATTAAACAACCATAAATCAGAGGATATAAGCTCTGAGGGCTGTGTGTGTGTGATGTGTTTGAGTGTGCCGGAGTCAGCAGGAACAACATATGGCTCCATTAAAAATAACACAAGTCAATTACCAGAACAGGTTATATCTGCCAACACAGCAGCACACAACCAGCGACAGGAATACTTTACTTTTATGAGACAGTAAACAGAGCACATAGAGCAAAACTGAAATGGATTGTACAATAAATCCTGACGCAAATAAAGCAATATCGGGCTGTTTTTCTTGGAGTTTCTTCGATTAAAGCCAAACAAAGTATTCTGTGCATTGATTATTATTTGTTCTTCTGTTCATTTTGTCTCACACTGTTTCCCCACTCCGCTCATGTATCATGTTTGTCATAAAAATGGAAATTGGACATCACATTGGACGTCTTTTTACCAGAGGTCACAAAGGTACAGACATCCTTTACTGAGGTAGAATTACAGATAGTCCATTAGAAGTAGAAGAATTAAATCATCTTCTTCACTCAAGTAAAAAAGAAGAAGGTACAGGATCTGAAAGGTCAAACTATAAATGTAAAAAGTATTTCTTGGTTTCTCTGTTTCTGAGCAAACTGAAACTTCCCCACAGTAAATCCTGACAACACATCTTAATAAAATAAGTAAGTTAACATAAATTAATCCTCCAAAAGTCACTCATTCACATAAATTAAACCTAACACAATTTAAATGTATGCAGTATTTTAAGTTTTGGTGATATTATTTAAGTTTGTTCCATTGACTCATTTTTTTCACAGATTTTACAGTTTTTGTTTTTATTTCAGTTTATTAATCATCATCAGCCTCCCAAAGTGTTAAGATTTTTTGTCACAGAAAGAAAAGTAAATTTAAACTTGGTGGTAACATTTGTATAAAGAAGAAGCATTTAAGTGACTTATTCAGGTAAATTCTGTTCACACATTTTAAATTAGTTTGGAGAAATGCTGCATATGAGTGTAACCTAAATTAACTGAATTTACCCAAGTTACCTTAACAATAAATATTTAACTTGCTTCTACTCAAATCAAATATCTTTAAT